AAGCCATTTCTTTGATATCCTATAAAAAATCAGAAAATTCCCTTTTATTTCTCCTATAAAAATAAAATTATAAATATTTAAAATGCCTATCAAATACCTCTTGTTATAAATAACTTAAAAAAATATTAAATGTGCCTATCAAATACCTCTTTGTTTTAAATAATTTACAAAAATATTAAATATGCCTATCAAATACCTCTTTGTTTTAAATAATTTACAAGAATATTAAATATGCCTATCAAATACCTCTTTGTTTTAAATAATTTACAAAAATATTAAATGTGCCTATCAAATACCTCTTTGTTTTAAATAATTTACAAAAATATTAAATGTGCCTATCAAATACCTCTTTGTTTTAAATAATTTACAAAAATATTAAATGTGCCTATCAAATACCTCTTTGTTTTAAAAAATTTACAAAAATGTTAAATATGCCTATCAAATACCTCTTTGTTTTAAATAATTTACAAAAATATTAAATATGCCTATCAAATACCTCTTTGTTTTAAATAATTTACAAAAATATTAAATATGCCTATCAAATACCTCTTTGTTTTAAATAATTTACAAAAATATTAAATATGCCTATCAAATACCTCTTCTTATATATAATTTACAAATTAAGTGCCTATCAAATACCTCTTCCTAACTTTTAATATCAAAAAAAGGGAATTTTCTATTTTTTTATCAGGAAACCAAACCGTCCAAAAAGGGGCCCAAGCTGTTACCATCGATCTTTTACCACAGCCAGGTGAAAGACCTTTTGGCGGTTCCCCACCAAGAGTTGTCCACGACTGGTTGTGGGTAAATGAAGCTCTTGATGGTTCCCCACCAAGAGGTGTCCACAACTGGCTGTGGGTAGATTGTATCTATGATGGACTGCCACCAAGTAATGTCTTCCATTGGAGCAGGGCAGAAGTAGTTGTATGCTGAAAAAGAAAACATTTTGTTATTTGAAAAGAATGAAAGGAGACACCCATTCTGCTACCAGCTGGTCCAAAGCTCTTGCCTCTGATCTTTCCCAGATTATCCATACCCATTTACAGCTGGTTTGACTGGAATGCTGACGAAGGGTGACTTAACTCAATGTCACCAGACTTTCACACAATGGCCAAGATTAGAAGCCACAATGTTTAAAAAATCTGTGCTTGTGTGACCCTTTGTAATGGGAGAGACTCATCCTTCTGGAGACAAGAAGCAACTTCGGAATGACTTGTCCTCTGACATTGTAAGAATTTTAGATTCTGGAAATTGGATAAGTCTTTGACTAGAACATACTGCTCCCAAGGAACACAGTCTCAGAAAACTCACCCAACTTACAATCCAGATCGTCCAAATCAAGCACTTACCCATTGGAATAATGCATGACATCAAAATTCCACCGAACAGCAGCAGCAAGATCATTAAGTTTAATCCTTCTTCATTATCATCATCTTCTTCTTCTTCTTCCTCGTCTATTTCCTCTTCTTCATCCTCTTCTTCCTCTTTTTCTTCCTTTTCTTCCTCTTGTTCTTCCTCTTCTTCTCCTACTTCTTCTACATGAACTTCTTCTTCATCAGCATCCCCATCTTCATCATCACTATAATCACTATCATCATCATCATCACTATCATCATCATCATCACTATCATCATCATCATCTGGAATTCAAAATATCAGAAGCATGATTATTTCCAATATCAAAAACTGACTGACAATATATCTGACCTGACAGATACGTGGTAAATTGGTGGAGATCGACCATAAACGTGTAATATATATAGGAACAAATCAAACACTCACCACTTGTTGGGGGATCTTGTGAAACATCCCGAAGATCGGGTATGCAAACACACCAACCTGTAGTATAATAAATAGATTATTAAGAGTGAATTCTTTCATTCAATTGACATGAAATGGAGATTTACGTCCCTGTTTTTCAATTGGGCAACATCAGCAGTGTGAAAACTCAAAGTATATATTGGATAGAATTGCATGGCTGCTGTTTTTATATGTATCAGGAACACTGATGGCATCGATTTGCATCATTCCAATTTTCAGTCTGACGTATGTGGTTCCTGCAATTCAACTAAATTCCAAAGATATCATTTGCAATTTTTGCAATAGTGCTTCTAAAAGCCAGTCCCGTGTCTGTTTTAAACCTATATCTACTTGCCTAACTGAAAGACAAAGTACATTGAAGTTACCCAGAAAGTCAAATTATCAAATGATCCTTACCGTATCCCTCCACAAATCTATACTCTAAGGCTTCCTTCGGTATGGCTACCGAAACGAAGCCGTCCTCATCGGTTGTATCGCTTACAACTCGAAAGTTGTAAGCGTTCTCATTGGGTAAATCTAAAATTAAACAAATTAAGGCTGTGTTTATTGTTTTTGCATCTTCATTTGTGTCAAAAGAGTCTTGGAAGGCTGGCGTCACCACTAGAAATACCACGACTCTTTCTTGTTCCAAAACTATATGTTCTTGTTTGCCACCCAGGCCAATCTCTTCAAACAAGCAATGAATTGATCCTTACCCATCTCCACAATGTCAAGCTCTTACGACTTTTCGTCTTATACCTTGACTACAATAGCCACTATTCCTCTATCACGAAATGTGGCGATTTGACTGGATCGTACATCAACGAATATAGCCAATCAGGACCCTCGAAAGAAAGTACGTAAACATTATGGTCTTTTGTTCACAAGCTTTCAGTCGAGATCTATGATTGGCTGTATCCGCTAGCTTACAATCCAATCAAATTCCAATCCGATCAAGGAAGGTGGCTATTATAGTCAAGGTATAAGTACGAATACATGTAGCTTGAAATTGTGAAGATGATCCTTACCCAATTTCCACTTCCTTTTTCCGGTGGCATCTGAAATAACAAAATGGAATGTCTGTTATATTTCTTCTTACAGCTGGTCAAGATCACCAGATCTCCTCTTCCAATTTCTCAATGAAGTATCTGTTTCATCCAAACATTATGGCTTATTGTTTACAGACTTTCTGCCAAGAACTCTGATTGACTGTATTCGTTTGCGTACAATCCAATCAAATCGCTCCCTTCACAAACTTTCGTGATGCAAGAATAGTAGCGGCTATTACAGTCATGGTATAAGTTGACGAAGTTAGGCACTTACCTTGACCTTGACCATGACTTGGACCTTGACCTGGATCTAGACCTTCACCTTCACCTTCACCTTGATCTTCACCTGCACCTGTACTTGGTTCTGGACCTTGACCTAGACTTGGATCTGGACCTTGACCTGGACTTGGGTCTGGGCCTTCACCTGGACTTGGGTCTGGACCTTCACCTGGACTTGGGTCTGGACCTGGACCTGGACTTGGGTCTGGACCTTGACCTAGACTTGGGTCTGGACCTTGACCTAGACTTGAGTCTGGGTCTGGACCTGGACTTGGATCTGGGTCTGGACCTGGACTTGGATCTGGGTCTGGAACTAAAAATAGTTTTTGATCAATGTCATTTGCCTTAAGAGTGAGTGAAAGACCCATCAGCAGAGTGGATTCGGGTGGTCAAATAGTTCTGTCAAATGGGGCTGAAACAGTAGGCCTACTTTGGTAAAAGTCACACATGGACTTCAATGTCTCAACAAAATGAATGGAGGTCCTTGAACTTTGGTGGGTTGAGCCTCCTCCCCCGGGGAGGTGGGGACCCTGTGAACTTGGTTCAACCAGTCCCTATGGGATTTCAAAAGCTAATTGCTGTTTAAAATTGCTTGGCAAAGAAATCCAGTAACCATAACTTGTCTTTCAAATGGGAGAAAGTTGAGGAACCCAATGGCAGAGTGCCATCGGCCTTTCTAAAGTTAGAGAAAAGGTATCCCAAGTGACATGGTAAGTAGGCTAAGCCCCCTGATTTCTTTGAAAAAAAACTAATAACAGGCTATGGTGACAAGCTCCAGTTAACTCAGATAGCAATTGATGGGAGCTAACTCTTATTAGATTTTTCAGACCACAAAAAACTCTTCTTAACCTCTATAACAGGCTGAGTTTGGGTTCAATGATGTAATTTTTGGTTCACGTCTTTACCCCTTTGCTAAAAACTCTGCCTTAAGGTTCTTGAAGCTCTAGCCTACATAGGCCTAGGCTAAGGCAAGGCTAAGTTAGGTTAAGCCTCGATAAAATTATTTATAAATTTGCAAAGTAAAAAAAAAACGAAGTAGGCTAGGCTTAAATTTCCTAATTTTTTTAATCTTTTCCTTTTGTAGTAAGTTCTAGCCTTATTTCCTAAGGCGTTTAAATATTTTAAAATAAAGCCTTATTTAGTCGTTACTGAAATAAGCCTAGCTTATCTTACCAATCTCAATGGCGTATTGGACCTCAAATTTTAAATCAAGTTTTTTTTAATTTAAATGTCCAAAACTTAATTAAAAACTTATTCAATTTGTGCTATGTATATAAATAAAGATTTTTAAAAATAAAATTTTAATACTTACAAGCTTTTTCCATATTTTTTGGTTCACTGAAATAGTGTTCCTTGGCGTCGCTCATCTTCTTAGCCTTGAGGATAATTGACGTCGAATTACGTCTTAAGCCTTCCGCTCGTTGCATAGCAGTGACTTATCACTACGCCTCATCTGGACGACATTTGAATTTCTCTTTTGGAATTTCTAAGCCAAAATGGCTGTAACGAATCAAGATAAGCGCCCGAAGTGCTTTGGTTTCGCCTAATTTTGTGTATTAAGCGTCTAGTTCTGTTTTTGCCCTGGGACTATTTTGCCTACCTTTGCCAAAGACGAAGTAGTCCGTCAGAAAGACGAAATAGGCTCCTTTCTTTGAGTTTTATGCCTACTTTTTAAAACTTTTAAATAAAGAAATTGGTCCTAAAATCCATCCCTTCTTACTTGAATTTTTGTCCTGAAATCATGACCTATGGGATGCAACCCCTACTAGGCCTATTACAGAATGTTTAGCCTACCATTCTTAGCCTAAATGATGAGCCTATAATTCGTTGGGGAGAGTCTTGCTCATTCGGAAAACAAACTTCAGTTGCGTTTGGTTGATCTAAGGTATCCAAAAACCCCTTCCTGGCCATCCCGGGTCCAGCCTAGCCTTTACTAAGGCCTAGATTCGATAAAAAAGAAGGCAAAAGTTAGCCTATAATAATCCAACAAACGTCTAGGCTAGGCCAAGCCTAGGAGGCATACTCAAGCAAACTTCCTTAGAAAATTGATAGCTCAAAATGGCCAGAGTTTATTCAGTCAAATATTGATTAATGGGAGCTAACTACTATGAAATTTCAGACCACAAATAAGCCTGTTTATTGATAATTAAGAATTAACTGTAGTCTTTAGTCTGCCTTAAAATCACACTATTAAAATGAGGTTCTCTCCCTTAGACCCTTCTTCACGTGATGGTAGCAAAATTTTCCAGTCGTCTGTTTGCATTGAAATTCCGCTCTGGATAATCTCAGCTAAGTTGAGGGTCGTTTGGTTAATGGCGGAAATTCAATCAGCTATCAATTTTCTTGAACTTTCTTAGCCATTTGCAATCTATAAGTAGGCTAGTCCTCCAATTTCGACACACAGACGGAGAAAAAAAAGTGAGTTGTAGATGACGAGTGCCATTGTGCGAGCTGACACTGTCAGCTTTTAATTTGATACTTGAAACTAAAAGTGAAAAGTTTGAGAATTATTATGACATGTGCCCCTCTGTTGTCCATTTTTCAAAGCTATGCTAAGGCATTGGCACGATCCTGGAAAGTTGATGCTGATGGGTCTTACTCCAAGCTTTTTGTAATGTGTTTTGGTGAACAAGTCTTTTAAGGTTTCTCTTCATCTCAGCATGAGTTGAAGGGGCTGACATGGAAAAAGCGTCTAGTTGTTCGGATGGGATAATAAACCGAGGCCCCGTGTGCTACAGGCAGTGTATGTTAAAGATCCCTCGACAGTTGGAATTCGAAAAAGAACAGCCTAATACCTCATTGCACCCTGCATGGCGTTGCCTGTCTTCATTAGCCCACATGGTGCAGAAAAGTAGGACGTACAACTCCATTCATTTCATTTCATTTTTTCATAAAACTGAATTAATTTGATTGAAAAACATTTTCATTTCAGGCAACTCGATCCAAGTTAACGTGTAGTGTTTGTAAATAAAAATTAAATATGGTGGAAGGACCAGGTTGTAAGTTGAAAGGGGAGAATATCCGAGCTGGTCTAAGAAATAAAATATTGTCTAAAATTATAGTCAGATCACCTATACAGGCCAATGTGAGTATTTTACATTAACCCTTGAATCATTACCAGCCACAGAATAATGTGAGCTTACCCCAGCAGCTGGTGAAGCCTCATGTATGTCATAAGTTTTATGTCTTACTCTTCAGCACTTAATTGGTCTAATGAAGACAGACGTCATGCAGTGTACAATGAGGGAAATTTTGCCGGATATCAGCATTAGCCTACTCTTTTTTCCATTTCCAACTGTCGAGGGATCTTTAACCTGCACAGCCTGTAGCATATGGCACCTCAGTTTATTGTCCCATCCGAACGACAAGACGCTTTTTTCATGTTGTAAAGTTCATAGTTGGTTACTCTGCTGTCAAAAGACATTTTGAGTTTTGGACTGATGTCTAATTTTGAGTCTTTTGTTTGTGTGCGATTAAATCATAATGTGCCATTGTATTTTAAAAGGGAACAAAGAGAGAAGAGTTAAGTGTCAGTGAACAGAAAAAGCAAACCGACAGCAATGAGTTGGTGGAAAGAAAATTAGATGATGTTGTCACTTTGGGGAAGGAATTATTTATGATTTTTGGAGACAAATGCTTAAGGTATGTCATGATTTTCTTCATACATTTTCTACCATGTTTCGCTGTGGCTAGTATACTTATATGAGGGATCAGTGCCTTGTATGAAATTTAAATTTTGTTTGCGTCAAAGGAAAAAGCGTAATTTGATTTGATGAAATCTCGACTATCATCAGCTTTACCACTTGGACAACAATTTCAGCTATCCGTATCTCTTTTCAGCTATAAATTTCAATGTCTTTTTCATCTGCAATTTAGAAAAAGTACCTCCAAAAGGACAATAACTTTTATATAAATGTTAGAATATTCAAAGTTAAAAAAAAAGATTCAGAAAGCTGCTGTGGCAACACCCCAAAATTCCGAAGTATATCCCTGACAAATAAGTTAGAAGATTTTTGAAGTAAAATGTTTCTTGATAGGCTGTCATTTTTTTTTCAGGCTTCATTTTCTAATGAATGGATCTCACAGAATATCAGAAAGTGGTAACATGGTTTTAACTGGTAAGAAGATACCACCAGTGCTAGAAGTTTATTTTGGACCTACTGTCTTATTCTTTTATGAGTCTTCTTTTGATGTTAGGTAAGTTTTTCCCCTAAATTTTTCAAAGTATGTGCCAATGCTTATCTCAGTCTGGTGGAAAGTCTGGTGATATTGGACAAGTTGTATTTCTTCAGGATCCTAGTTTGACCCAGCTGTAAATGGGTACAGATAATCCAGGAAAGATCAATGCCAAGAGGTTTGACCCAGGCTCAACTGGTAGAAAGGATCCTCATTTTTCCAGTCGACCCAGCTGTAAATGGGTACAGATAATCTGGGAAAGATCAATGCCAAGAGGTTTGGTCAAGGACCAGCTGGTAGAAAGGATCCTTTGTGAACCTAAGTTATTAACCTTGTAAAAATCATTATTTCTTTGTAACAAGCTCGGCGACTTTTTTTTCAGATCAAGTGAGCAATGCATCAGTCGTTTTGAAGAACTGAAAGACGTCGACATCTGTTCACCAACC